GGGATTGATCAACGCCAAAAATCTTATCCTTTGTTTTATCCTTTTACTTATACCAAAAAAGATTTATGTACTATTTTCGTCCATCTGACACCCGCTTCGTGGTTGTTTGGGGGTCAGCAAGTTACAAACATTCATGTTATTATTAAGGCAGGCCATGACGTGAATGTCATGTGAGCTTTGGTGCTTCGGATTGCATCGTCGTCGGAACCGGACTGTGCCTTCACACCTTTTCAAAGTGATGTCATATTCCTTGCAGGACACACAGACTTGAAATAATGTAAATATAGATCCAGTTCCATGTCTGGACACCACCGATTTGGCGTCTTATTTATATTAGTTACTTTTTTAGTCGCAGTAGCCAAACGTCTCGTGCTGCAGAACGTTGCTTCTTGCCTTCTTGACCAGTTTTTTTCTTCTTTTTAGCCGAGCGGATCATATTGAGAAAGTCATTGCTGTGAGCTATTAACAGGGTATGCGACTTCTGCAGCTTCCCATTGTCTTGATCCCTTTGTGAGTGGTTGGAGGCAAGGTTTAGCCATAAATTTGAGATCCTCTACTCTCGATGGGTACCATAACAACAAAAAATTGTGAGAATTAGCACTTTCGCATCAATTTCTGCGATTTTCGTTGTCTGTCCTACACAAATAAGTCAAAACTCGTTTCCTTGTCGACCTACCATAACAATAGAGTAGTCCAGGCGTGTTGCTCGATTCGCTCAGGAGAAATGGGTAACACTATTAACGTCCTCCAGTGGCTCCATATATAGTGTTATTGGCTCTCTCGCTCAGGCGCAATGATCGATTCGTGCTAGTGATTGAACAGGTTCTTATCAGGCGAAGCTTGTTCATGCCTTTGTCAAGCAACTCTGACCTCGACCATATAGAAGTTTTCCGCCTATCACTTTCTCTCGTCCCGCAAGCCTTTCACTTGGGGGAACTCTTTTTGCTTTGTTGTCGAGTTTCCGAGCAGTTCTCCTGAGTTTTCCTCCTACTCAGAACTTTTCTTTGGTTTTGTCTAGGGGATCAAATCAGTTCAGCCTTTTTCTCTTGATTCAAATGCATCACGAAGAATGGCAAACCAGTTTCGTATGAATCTTTTCCCCGACTTTTTGGTTTTGATGCTCTTCTATCTGTGGTTCCGGCTCAAGGGGGGCTTGGGGTTCGGCACTGCAGACCACCTGTGAATATACGTAGCGATCTCATTGGTATGGGTCGAGGTATAGGGCGCGAATTCGTCGCTTACTGTGAGCGCCGTATTTGCCAGATGCCACGATCTCTCGTAATACTTGCGTTGCGCGAAAGCGCGACACTCGAGCGCTGCCTTGCACTGACCTAACGACACACTCTTCTATCCCCTACAAAGAAATACCGTGTATCAATGATGAACATATATTCTGATATGCTGATACGATGTTAAATGAGTTTAATGACAAGATGAATTCCAGTGATGTTCTGGTGGTTTTTATTAGGACTGGTTCCTCCGCTCTGCTTTATAATAGCGAGGTAATGAACTTTTTTACAGCTCTATTTGAATTTCTACTTCTACCTCCCTTTTAACAATTGTGAATCAAACAGAAAGTCCACGTTTCCTACTGCCGTTAGAGCGGCGTAAAGGCCCTTCTCACAATCAGTCCTCTTTCTGGCCACATCACTAAAGAGCCTGTAAGCAGCGGTTGGGACGAGCCTACGGTCAAAAATCTGCGCTGTGAAAAGAAAGTTGATGAGAAAGCGGCAACATAGGCAAAATTGGATTGGAGAGCAATTTGAGAGGATTTTCCTGCCAGGTAGACACTGGAAGTGGACAAATTTCGAGGGTTCGTTGATATTGACAGCACCTCGGCAACTCACAATGAATTAATCCTATCTGATCATTCATCTTTCTTTTGTTTACCCTTTAGTTGGTATGCTCAACAAAAAGAATAGAATAGAACTAGCCAAAAGCTGTTCCGCACATTTTGTATCTCCACACAAAAGAATCGGGGACCTATATGGAACTGAAAAGTATAACAGTCATTGTTCGGTGTAAAAAATATCGCATCGCTCCTAGAGAGTTTCTGCTTCAACACATCTATCCGCTTCAGAACAAGTGAGCCTTCCCCTCGAAGCCTTTGAGCCTTTTCCATAGGTGGCTAAAAGCCGAACTTCAAGCAACGAGCTCCTTCTGAAGAGAATGATTGAAAGCTATTGAAACTCACTTAGCCTTTTATATGAACCAAACCTCTGGGTTCGACAGTTTCATCTAATTTAGGGTCTTGAACTGATATTTGAAGACAGTCCGGAGCTGAAGAGCAGTCTGTCTCTAGCTCCTATGCAAGGATAAAAGGTCCTGTAGTTCAGAGCTTCTGAGAAAGACTAATAAATTTCTGCTTCCACCTAGAATGCCCGCTTAAATAATAAATAATAATCATAAATTTTTTACACCATCTTCTTCATCACAACATTATTTCTCAAATTTGTAGCTATTTTTACAGATACATATGGGAATCGTTCGAGATCGAGGACTTGTCGTCGAAGGCTGTTCTGATCACGGGTTGTGATTCAGGATTCGGGCGTGAATTAGCATTGCGATGTGTTGAGAAAGGTTTCACCGTCTTTGCCGGATGCCTAACAAATAAGGTTTGCTTTATAAACTTTTTTTTCTATTCAGAAGCCGTAGTCGGAGTGAGGCTGTAAGCAACGCCATATGAAGCGAATCCCATTTGGTCACAGCTTTCTCTGCCCTCCCGAGCGATGCGCTCATTGGCTGAGTAACTAGGATAAACCATACTATCCGTACCGGTGTGGGTACCTCTCCCCGGAAGTCGCTTCGCTCTCGCCGCACCCGATCGCGCGCTATGAATCGGAAGCTTGAACTCAATGCGGAACAGCTGCCGCTCGCGGTGGGAATTCGAGGACAAGCACCGTCATCCGTCCTTACCAGATTGTAATTCAAACGCTCAATTAGGGCTATCCCTTTTTATGCTCCAGTTGCTGTTCCACTGAGGATATTTTGACTTCTTAGTAAAAACACAGTAAAAAATGATAGTGAAATTTTTGAGACGTGAAAGCTTTGAAGAGAGAAATTGAAAGAGGGAATGGTAGTACAGGATAGTGCATGCAAGTAATTACTTTGCAAATCGTAGGTCCGATCGTCCGAACTTGAATAACCTCGCAGTTTTCATATATCTGTCTCTGCCTCTGTTCAAGCTTACACCATTTTCAAGCATTTTTTGCCAACGTTATGAATGCGATTTCATCCGCTTTGCTTGAGTCACTGCAATAACTTTTCAGGGAGAAATTTCTTTGAAGTCGGAATGTCCATCACCCAAGTTACGCACCATTCCGTTAGATGTAGCTTCTGATGAAAGCGTCGAGGCTGCTAGAAGACTGGTCGACGAATATGTTAATCAAGGGAACGGTGAGTTTTATGGAAGATATCCATTTGGTGTTCAGAAATGAGGGATCTCCGAATCGAGCTAAACAAAACTGAAAATAGATGGAAGCAAACATATGCTTGACATGGAATAATAAACAAAATGAATGTATAAATGAAGTGGACCTTTTGAAGCTCCCACGCTAGTTCGTAATTGCTTTGTAGATTTGAAGGTACAGTTCACGACAAAAACGCTCTCTGAGATTTCTCCATATGATGAATAGAATGAACCTGTGATAGAACAAGATTCGCTGTAGAGGTCTCGATAGGGAGTACTAAAGGCTCCAAAACCGGCCTAGCCTACGTGCGCATTTGAGAGTGGACGAGTCTCACTGCGTTTGTTGAAGTTGCAAAGGTTGCAACATTCGCAGCGTGACGCACACTTTGCACGACGGCGGCTTACTGTAGCCAGCTGTAAGCAGCCAGCAACACACAGATCTGGGCAGCTCGTCCAAATTCGGCTTGCATGCAATTTTTGTCGTCACATTCTCCTCTGTTTTTGAACTTTTTTTTTTGAAACCTCTCATGTGTGAATACGTCGACTTGCGCTTTTCTTGCCACTTTTTGCAGTAGTCTGGACTAATAGTCCCACTATTCGTCTAACCTAGATATCCCAAAATTATCGTGAACTGTGCCTTCATACTGATGGAAGGGTTTAGGTCGAGACTGACTTTTGAGTGTTCTCGTCTGGTGATTTCTGAGCAGTTTTGACCTTTCATGGTCTTTGTAAAGACGTCTATTTTGGGGGGGAGGAGGCTGACACTTTCAGAGCCTAATTGCATCTGAATTTAGCACGTCTTTTGCAGCCAAATTATTATATATTGGGTAACCGCCCTTTCTACTGCCTTCAGAGACACGACCATATGATCGTATGCACCTTGAACTTGGTGTTTTGTTGTTTAAGTTTCTGTTTTCGTTCTCATTAAAAATCAAGGGCATGTTTTATTTCTGGGAGCGTAAAGAACGGTTGCGAAGGCGAAGGTCATGAAAACATTCTAATGAAATGGAACAACACTATCTCAATCATGTTGCACACTTTAGAGAACCACCTTAAAGGCACAGATCACGATAGAAATGCTTTCTGAGATTCCCTTGGAGGAAGAATTTGAGGCTTCAGCGTATACCATATCTGGCACTATTAGTCGGAAAACGGCCTAGTCAGGGTGTTATAAAGGCTCAAAGATTGGCCCGTGTGTATCCTCGGACGAGTTTCACCGGCGCGGTAGAGGTCGCACCGATTACAAGGAAACTCATATAGGAAGTTCAAACAGCTTGTCATGACCCACAGCGACAGTGAAAGGCANTTCTTTACAGATCTGGCTTGATGTAGTCAGCTCTTTGCGCGATTGCAGTAACTGAAATCTCGTCCGCATACCCCTTCCATGTTATTTCCTTCACGGCAATCTCGTCCAACCTCCCTTTTCCCTACTTTTGAGAGCCACATTTTTCTCGGAATCTGCGAATTCTCTCGCTTTATTCACTACCAATGAACTATTCCTAATATATACTTTCGCTTTTCGAATAGAAACGGGTACCTTAAATTTATCGTGAACTGTGCCTTTAAATAGGAGGAAGTGTTGAAAGGTGCAAATCTCAAAATACTTCCTACATCGTGTCCGCGACATGGACAGGATAATCCTATTTCCGCTTGAACTATGGATATGGTGAACGCTCGGAACCGATTTGAAAGCTTACATAGTTAGGAACCTTTTGCTCCTCTTTCGCAAAAACCCCTGAATGGCTGAAGGTGAATCGTTCGACTGGATAACAAAAATGAGAACGAAAACAAACCAACAACTCGAGGTCGGAGGACAAGCGGTTCGTTCGTAACATACGTTCTCGAGCACAATGTCGAGTAACGACTTCGTCGAGAACAAGGATTGCCGACCGTTACCTACTCATTAGAGAGCTTACTCTAACTTTGGACACTCACGTTACTGCTTTACTTCATTGTCTTTTCTAGAATTGTGGGGAATAGTCAACAACGCGGGCATCTTCTCTTGCTATGGCCCCGACGATTGGACGAGAGTGGAGGATTATATTCATGCTGCTCAAGTAAACACGTTTGGAGTAGTCCGGGTCGTACATGTGAGTTCTTCACTTGTAACAAGATTCTTGCAAAACACCTTCATCACCTGTTGTTTCTTGATCACGGGTACCAGTAACGTCTCCATTCCCAAGCCGCCTGGCAAAGTAGCCGTGTGAGCTCTCCACGCTAAAGGGATCTATGGCGTATCTTCCTCTCGAGAAGATGGCTGACCATCGTGCTGGCGGTCGTCCTAGTGTTTATTTGTTGGTTCCTGACTCGATCCCTCGGCACACTCACCAGTCATGATCAATAATTTCAAAACTGAACCTTAGTTTATGTCAGTCGCAACTAGGTGTCTGTACAATACGAGACTTTCTGTCCAAATAATAGAGGTAATTGCTTTGACCGATCACTCGATATCCAGCCGAAGATATTTCTAGGCTCTCAAAAAATACGTGAAACGTTCCGCAGGACGAATCGTCACAGTAACATCAGTGAATGGACGATTTTCGACACCATGCGGTGGTCCGTATGTTGTCAGCAAGTACGGCACCGAAGCTTACATGGACGCTATAAGGTTAGTCATTCGAGCTCTCGGTAATGTCGATTTCTGTTTGACGTAATCCCGTAATCGAGCTGCGGTTACCACTTTCTTGCAACTGTGGCTAAGTCTTCTAGTATATTTGTATTTCAAGGCAAGAGCTGTATGTCAATGACGTGAAGGTTTCGATACTTGAACCAGGAATTTTCCGAACCCCGCTCATAGACGAGCAAGCTATGATACAACGAATAGAAAGTGTGGGTTACTGTACATTTTCTTCTCGGTTCGTCTGTCAAGTAAAACTGTACGAAACTTGGTCAATCCATTGAGTTTTTTCAGGCATGGTCGAAGTTGGATGATGAAACCAAGGAGGAGTACGGGGAATACTATAAGACTTACTGTGAGTGACATTACGAGAATTTCTGAACTTCTGCATGAATATATGGAGAGAACCGGAAAGGTCAAAAAAGGCATTTTTTGAAATAATTAGTATAATACTGCTGTTTAGTCGCAAAACTGTGGAATGAGCTGTTCCTAACCATGAGCTCGACGAAGACGCATTATGTGGTCGACAATTACATGCATGCCCTCACTGCCCTGTATCCACGACATCGGTGAGTTCATCGATCCTGAAAGAGAAGTAAAGTAGGGCTAGATAAATTGTCAGAGCAGATCTGTCCAGTACTGCTCAGGTTAAGAAAACTATGCATTGGGAACTCGTGCCTCTAACTGGCGTAACTCAGTTCGGTCGGTTGCCTATACCTTGCGGAAAGACAGGACTGGAGGGTTCCATTTCATGGGTTCACAAAATGGTTGTCGAAGGCTGAACAAGAAAAGGATTTCGATTAGGTGGTTCGATAACCCTCCCGATGTACTAAACGTGTCCTACTTGCTGGCAATGTGATGAGGTTTTGGCCTCTACTTACTACTGTTGTTGGTAGCAGCAACCGGAGTCTACTACTTACTTCTTCCGTACGTTTTTGAGGGATGAGAAAGGTAGTGGTACATATTGCTCGCCAATGATCGGTCACGGTGAAGTGTAATAACTTCTTTTACCCCNCCCCCCCCCCCCCCCCCCCCCCCCGACTCCTCAGTCTCAAGAAGTAACGAGTATTTGTTTGAAACATATAACAACCCGGGGCTAGGTTCTTGATCAGCACAGTCCAGTTCCGTCAAAGGCCACATATGTAGTTATTAGTTTGATATTTTTCCTTGAAGACCATCAGAGAGGGATAAGGCCGTCCCGTGACACACATCCTTCGCTTTGGCTGAAACAGGTGGGTGCTCGGTGAAGAAACAGATGACTGCTCATCAACGGTATATTCCAAAACGTTTGACCAACGGCGACTGTTCCACCTGGAATGCATAGGGATAGGGTGGAGAGCAAATTTTAGGATTAGGTAGCATTGCCCTCATCAAATCTTAATTCCCTCTTTTATTTGTTTCTTCGAATTGAAATCTATTGTTTTCCGTATGAAATGAGCTTGTTCAGGTATTATTGTGGTTGGGATGCGATTCTTCTTTGGGTTCCGCTATCAATTCTTCCAACATGGTTGTCAGACTTTATGATGCGCTCCATCAGTCGACAGGAACGATATCCTGCAGCGATCGAGAAGAAAATGAGGCAGCAAAAGAAGCTTGCTTCGAACTAAACGATTCCTTCTTTAATATCCCTCTCCTTAAATCTCAGAGAGTTCTGCCTCGAATTTACTATTGTGTTCACTTCGTGCTAGTCCGTCGGAAATTTGTATCCTAATTTGTTTCGGATAGCGTCTATAGCTGATTATTTTTAGTAATGTTGTATGAGGTAAGGACGAATCACAAACTATGTATACAAGCGGCTGCTGACTTTTTATATATTTTTTATGTTAATAAAATCACAATTGCTCATAAATATGTTGCATATGTAGTTAGAACAAGGCTTCGTATCTATGGTACACGACCTCTATTAGCGTTCCAGGGGGAGGGGGGGTCTGTTAGTGTTAGGGGTCTTAGTGTTGGCGTTGGCTACATTTACAAGCTATCATGACATCACGGTCGTCGTTGTTCTTGAACTTGCAGAGAGGCCTGTGAACCTTTTCTTAATGTGGTGAAAAGAAATCCTAACCCCTGGCCGAGTGCACATCACAACACGCGAACGCGAGGCTTATAAGCCCACCACTTCGTCTTTACAATGGCTGTGTCAGATTTTGCGTTAGCCCTTGCAGACGTCCGTTGTCCGCTCCGCAACCTTCCTTTTGGATAGGGACAGCGTGCTGCAATAGCTCCGCTCTCGATCGTTTGCGGTCGCGCGATAAGGAGGGGAAAATTCCGATTTTCGATTTAGGGCTATTGTTGCTCACTGCTGCTGCCTGCCATAACAGTTCGAGAGCCACCACCCCTTTCGCTGGGGCGCTGAAACTATCGATATCTACCAACATCAGTATAGGCATTCCCAGGTTAGGGGCTGGCAAGGTGCCACCGCAAAGTTTGGATACGGTCAATGCTGCAATGAACTGGATAGCGGACAACCTACTTGAATGACGATTTCCCACTTCCAGAAGTAGTTCGGCAGCATGCATTCAGGCCAGGTGTAGTACCGGGTGATCAATCTGGCTTCGTTTGAATGAGACGCAGCTTGAACTCTTACAGGGACAGGGGAAATTCCTTTTGAAAGTAAAAACTGTGCACATTCAGCCAACACTTCCTTTCATATGCGCTATACATGCACAGAAAGCATCTCCCGGTACCTCTGAGCGTGGGGAGAGCGTGTTGCGGCGTAGGTGTAGTCAAGGATGATGGGTAGCAGTTTAGTACAGTAATGAAAGCATTTTATCGCTCACCTTCTTCACATTAGATTGCTTACGTAGTACTGATTAGCTCCCAGTTCTATTAGAAGTTGTTTTCCCAAATGGTCCTCCCCATCACAGGCAGTAAATGGCAGGTGGACACCGACGAACTGGCGCCAAGCAAGTGGCTTATTCAGTGACAGGACGAAAGACTCGCATAGGAGAGCAGTCCTTCTCAAATCGTGAAAAATGAGCGAGCTGTCGCTGCGCGAACACAGTCACTAACACAGTCACTACCTCATTTGTGACACTTCGACGCCCTTTTCCGAACAATTTTTGGTATGCTCGAACTTATCTTGCCTCATCTCAGCTCTTCAAGCAGTTTATATCCGAAAGCAGTCAGATTAAAGGCACAGTTCGCGATAATTCAATGGGCGGGTATGTCAATGACGTGTCCGCCTCTCATTCGATGTCACGTCAGACAGTCTGTCGTGACATCGAATGAGAGGCAGACACGTCGTTGATATACCCGCCCAATGAATTATCGCGAACCGTGCCTTTAATGTGAATTCGAGCAGCGGAGCTGAGCCCAGAACTGGAGAGTAACGCGGATTCGCGCAAGCGCAAAATGGATTCTTCGACAACTTTCATAATTCCATCGTTGCAAGGCAGGTGGGTGTCAAGTGCCAAATCACGACGAATTAATCTTTTCGACAGGGAACGCTTTTAAAGGCTTAGCTTGCGATAACTTCGTGGACCTCTTTTCTACTGAATTGTTTAAGTAGAGTGATTCTTTGATGTCGAAAAAAGAGAATATTTGAAGCAAGAGATAATGCTCATTGTGATTGTGCTCAGTGGTTAAGTCATTTCTATGGTTGGACAAGGTGATGATAACCAAGCCATTCGAGACCAGCGTTTCTTGATTTTTGGCATATATTGGGTTGTAACATAAGTTCGTAGAGTTTTTTCGCAGAGATTTATTTTAGCAAAAAACAATAATTATAATAATAAATTAATCAATGATGTATCCTCCTG